TTAAAGTTAACTTTTTATTTGAAGCCCCCAAATAAAAATGTCACTTTTACTTTTATGACTTTTTATCCAATTGTGTATCTGCATAGCCCCCAGAAACTAAAAAAAATACTGGTTACATTTTTATAACAACATATAAGTGCCTATACATTTTCATAAGATCTTCTCATAATTTCAATGGAAATTATGATTCATCTGATTCTATAGAAGAAACAAACAAAATATCCTTTCCCTCCCCAGACTGTTGTGGCATATTTGGGGCCTGGTGTGTGTAATGCAGACAGTTAGTTGGCAAAACAGAGCCTTGTGTTGAATCAGATTATGAAAATTCTGCCCAGACTTGCTTCACATTCCTGAGATTGCTGCTGATTTAAAGCTTTCACTATGATTAGAGATGGCATGAAGGGAGAGCCTCTGTAATAACTGGGCAGTCATGCAGTCTCCTGTGTTAGCTGTCATGTACTCTTGGTGGCTTCTGAAAATACAAAAAGTTAATAAATCTTGTCTGCAGTAGACCTAACCCATTGCACTTGATAGAGAAACTTCTCATATTAAGATTTAAGAGTAAAAAGCTACACTTACCATATGTCCAACAAAAAGTGTTTTCAATTCTCAGACTCCTTTAAAGCCTTACAGTGTTTGAACTGGTTTTGCCTAAAGTCCATAAAGCCTCCCTTTGGGCATGGCTCTTCCATATACATTTAATGATGTACATATATGGCATGTTCTATCTCTGCAGAAGGATGATTTCAACAGGCAGGTATGTGTCTGAAGAATTAGTTTCTGGGTGAGGCACTTTGTGACTATTCTTGGGCTGGAAATTTTGCTCTCACTTGAAATTAATGATCGTGAAGACAAAGATGAGTAAAAGTACAATTTCAAAATGCCTTTTGAATTTTGCTGATTTTTGCCAAAATTGAGCAACTAAGAATCCTGAAAGAATACTCTACATTTAAAGGAAAGGTATAGGTATTTGAAGGGAGAGGAGGTGCAGATTTTTACGTATTTTGTTGTTTCCTTCAATTTTCTCTTTGAAAGTCTAGTAGGTTATTTGGAAAGGACCTTGGAACAACAGTGCTGTGAGCTTTTTTGGTTTTTTTTTTTGGGTCTGGTCATGGGGCCTGAACTCTGGGCCTGGTCCCTCAGCTCTTCAGCTCAAAGCTAGCGCTCTACCACTTGAGCCAGAGCGCCACTTCTGGCTTTTTTCTTTTTGCTTATGTGGCCTCATGCATGCCCAGGGCCTCATGCATGCAAGGCAAGTGCTCTACCACTGAGCCACCTTCCCAGCCGCAGTGCTGTGAGTTTTAAATTTGACCAAGAGTAAGAGAAATGTTAGAATCTGCATATTCTGCATGCTGGGAAAGAGCTTTATTTGACAAAAAGAAAAAAGCTTAGCTTTAATGAACTTTAATTGCAGTATATTCTAAGGCACTAGACTATATACCACATGTACAACAGGACCTACCGTGTGCTTCAGTGGCAGTTTAATCCTTGTATATATAGTAAAAACTGTTCACCTCTCTTTTATATTCACACAGGTAGCAACTTAAAAGCTTTTCATATGCCTCTTAAAATAACAACAACCAAAAAAGCCTATAGAAGTCAGCTTTTTTTTTCTCACTGTTTAGTTTCAGGAATTGTTGTAGGACTTTCCTAGGTTAGGAGATAAAGGATTCAGAGGGACATTGTTCCTGCTTTCTGGGTTTTGTTTCTGCTTCTTCCTTCGGTGGCCTTTTGCCTTCCCTGCTTTGCTTCTTGCATGACTAGAGCATTCTTGGGATTCCTTCTTTTCTCTCTCACATGCTTGAGATTACCAAGCCTTCTTCTGCAGCTTTGCTACCTAACTTCCTTCCTGCAAGCTCTAGAAGAAAGAATTGGGCCCTACAAAAAGATCAAGGAAGAAATTCAAAATGTGTATAAACCTTGTAAAGCTACTCACTCTACCCTCAAAAGTCCACATTAGTTTCTTCCACTCCAAAAGTTTTGACGTTAGCTGATCAAAAATCATAAATGAATAAGCAGTCTTATTATCTTTAATAGCAAGTTACTCTGATCCTTGATGGTCAGAAAGATTATACCTGTAAATAATAAATGTGAAGATTAGTTTTATTAGGACCTTTAGACACTCATGGATCTAATAGCAGCATTGCTTACTAACGAAAGTAATAGGGCCAGATTGGAATATCCTTCCTAATTAGATCTTGTTTCAAACTTTTAAGAAGCAGACCAGTGGTACTCATAATATTCAATGTACATTTGTGGAAATAGATAAATAGAGGGGATGGATGGGGTTGGGAGACATGGGGGAGAATGATGAAAGGTGTGACTTTGATCAAGATATATTGTACATATGAACTGACATGTTGGCTTGAAACCCTTTTGTACAACTACGTGAAGATAATTAAAATACATTTAAAAAAAATGGATCACCTTCTTCCTTCCACAAGCACAGTGGGTATCTTGAGTTCTACACATATATTTCCATTCCATTCCAACTGTTAGATGAAAACAACAGCAGAAGCAAACTTTCGTCAGAATCTGGTTTCACTTGAGAAAGTTGTTTCACTTCACAATTAGTCCTGAGCGTGAATTTTGCAGACATTTGCATATAATCTCCAAGCCTGGAAGCTGGCTTACTTTATTTTAGTAACGTCTCCAGCCCTTACTCTGCCAAAGGCTCACTCAGCTCAAACACAGACCCCTTTACAGGCCATAAAACCTGTGGAGGAGGGGAATCACCGTCTATAAAGGGTGGGGTATTCCCACAGCCACGTGGCTATCCAAATGGTACCACTGTCCTCTGGATTCTCCTGGTTTTCCCCATTTTAATTAAACTAGTTCTGTCCCTTTGGACTTCTTTAGCTACCTTTCCTCATTTTTAAATCTGGAAAAGATGGTCTCTTGTTGTGTAGAGCAGTGTAGGCTGGCAGATGCACAGGAGTATCCTGTCTTGAGGGAAGTGGCAATTGACACTGGAATGTTTCCAGAATTGTCTTTCCTATTGTAAATAATTTCTAAACAAGGGGATTTTTTTTGACACTGGTTTAATGCAGGCAGTTTGACTGAGTTGGGGGACAAGTTATCTCTTGCTAACTTTGAAGAGTAGAGAAACTCTTATGAAACTTGTTCAGCATTGGGATTTCTGCTCTGGAATTTTCTACCTGTTTAGAAAGTGATCAAAGTGTCAAAGTTAAACTTTGGACAAAGAAACAAGGAAAGTTACAACAAAGAGTGTAAACTTTAGCACAAACTCGGGAATATTAATATATAATACTAACCTATTAGTGGTTAAAAAGGCAGTCCCAGTATGCCACGTTTAAGACAGCCTCATTGTGATATAGTTGATGTTGAAAGGGACCAACTTTTAAAACTCTGTGTCCTGCAAGTTTTGTAGAAATGCCTTCCAGTTGTCAGGCTTTTGTTATTCCAGGATCCTAATTCCAGAAGTGACTAAAAAGAGGCTGTTGTGGCACATGATAATTCTGGCTCTGACTGTTTACTGATTCATACTTTTCTTCCTGATTCTTAGAACATTCCTTGTTCCTTGTATAACACACACACACACACAACCTGAAGTTGTTACTTTCCATTCATAAAGCAACGGTGAGAAAGCACAGTATAACTGAGCTTCTTCAGAGACATGGGATACACTAGATAGTGGACACATCCTAGCTACTGTAACTTCTAGTCACAAGGACAAACTCTTGAAAAATAGGATTATTGTAGAAATAGGAAAGATGATTTTTTAAACGTTCTCTTCTCTATAGTTTGACAATTGAGCTTTTGGATGTATCAAGGGATAACGGCTCTGATATGTTACTGCTAGAAAAGGAAAATTATGTTGGAGTGAATAGGAATTTCAAGGAAACTTCGGCACTTTAAATTTTCTGTCTGTACCGGAGTAAAAAAAAATACCTAAGTTTGCTTAGTAAATTGATTTTCGTGTATTTTTGTGAAATGCCAATATATTAAATATGATTTCTTCAATGTAGCAGTCAGCCAGCTGGATTTCATTTTATAGTTATACTAAATACTTAGCTTCACATAAATGTTCATCATTTGGAACTCTTAAAGGAGAAAACAAAAACAAAAAACAAAAAAAAGCCTTCCCAAATGAAGTCTGGGGTTCGATTTATTGGCTTGTGTCTTGAACTTTTAGGCCACTCTAGACTTAGCTCTGGCCAGGATCCTTAGATCCTTAGATCAGTGTCGTTCTTAAAGGTGGAAGGATATATATAAAAGCGACATGATGCAACATGGCATTTATTACACTCCTGTTGCAACAGGAAGAAAAACCATATAGGATTTGAGGATAAGCTTAAGTAAGCAAGCTCAAAGGTCAATGGCTTATCCAAACTTGTAACTTCAAAGTAGAGGACTCTTGTGTGGTTTGCCGTTGTTTCCTTTGCACGAGTGAGCCTTCCATCTTCCCCCTCCCTGTTCCCATGCACGGTTGCACCAATCTTGAATTTTGTTATCTTTCCCCAAAAGCAACTCAGCTTTCAGTGCTTGCTTTTAACAGAAGTGACAACATAGCCACAATAACCCTAATAAATGCTTAGGAATCCTTTACTGAATTCCAGCTACTGCCTGGGTTTATTTCCTCCCAGATAAATGAGTTGTATCCTTCATTTGATGAAGGAAGAATCAGAGACACAGACTCCTGAGGCTACCAGCTTCCTCCCTCTTCAGTGACAGAGGGAGACTTGGTTACCTGGCCCAAGGAGCTTCTCCACTTTACTCAGGTTCTTTCCAGCCATATAGTCTTTGAAATGTCACCTTTAGATCCTGGCCCTCCCCTTTCACCCAGGTCAGACAGATAGGAAGCCCCAAGGATTATGTGGTATTGATAAATATGTAACTAACCCTGGTGTGTGTTTGCATTGTATTGTTTACACTAGAAGTGGGAGAGTGTAAGGATTTAGTCCAAAAGCGTAGAGTTAATGCATGACAGACTGTAGAGACTTTTCACCTGACACCTGTGTGTCTTTGTTTCTTCTCAGGGTCTCCGTACTATGACAACGTCCGCCCGCTCTCTTACCCAGACTCTGATGCTGTGTTGATTTGCTTTGACATCAGTAGACCAGAGACTCTGGACAGTGTTCTAAAAAAGGTAATGCTGGGAATTGATGACAATACTCTGTGTCCTGGATGATATACAAATAGAGACATGTGGTTGGCTGGAATATTCAAAGATTCTAGTTAATTTCCTGCCTTGTATTTTGTAATTAAAATATTGGAAAAGATGCTTACACATAAAAACAGTTCCTATAAATATGTCTCACCATTTTTGATAATTAATATGTTAGAAATATTTTTTCACAGAGTTGGGAAACAAATTACCTTCATGAACTTCCATATTTGTTTTAGGGGGAGAAACAATACAGTTAAGAATAGTTGCATTCAAATACTGTCATATTCACATCTCCTTTCTCTTTATAGATTGCATCCTAGTTGTTTATATTCGACCACTTAATCAAGCTATGTTTCAGTTATTATAGAAACAAATGATCTTAGTCTAGGAGGACTAGGAGCAATACTGACATATCTTCAGACAGAACACTATAAATTATGTTTAGGTATATGCCAAATACTAATTTAAAAAAATGTAAGCCTATTGGAAATCATCATGTATACCTGGTTTCTGGAGGTAAAAGTAAACCAGCTTCTGTAGGTGAAGAAAAAACCTGAACAAACTCTTGATAGAATGAATAGGCTCAAGCTGGAAGGGAATTAAATTAAAGAGGATGTAGTGACAATTCTAGGGAGGGCAATGGGATGGAAGGGCAATCCTTGGTCTCTAGAAACTGGGACTCATCCCCTAGAATTCATCATAGATAAGTGCTTGTTGATGGAGCAGCACTGATTATTTAAGAACCCTGCCCAGATCAATCTTTGCTGAGACACGATTCAGACAAGAATATACTCTGGGGCTGGGAAGGTGGCTCAGTGATAGAGTGCTTACCTTGAGCTGAAGAGCTGAGGGACAGCACCCAGGCCCAGAGTTCAGGTCCCAAGACAGACCGAAAAAAAAAAGAAACCCACAGGAATATACTGTCTCTAATGCTTGTCAACAATTGCCAGATTTACAGAGAGGGGCTAGAGTCATTACACAGCTGAAGAGCAATGTAACAACATGTCTCATTCTGGCTGTAGATAAAAGAGGTGGCTTATTTGCTGGAGTTTTTAGTTGATGTTGTATCAGGTTATGCATAATTTATAATGAAAAGGCTTTTCTCCTGTTTATTTTGCTTCTGTCTTTTAAGACAAAATGAACAGTGACTTGACCTTATAGGTACTAATGAGTGTGTTTACATTCAAGTGAGGCTTAAGGCTCTCCATAACCCCTGCTATGTTTCTTCTTGATTAATTGAGCCTTAAGTCCATGAATATAAAAAGTTAGAGCATGAAAAAAGGAAAGATTTCTTACTCTTTTTTTTTCCAGCGAACACATGGTTGATACTCCTAAATAATTCAGGAAGAGATGTAGGAAGGAAGGTCCCAGTGGACACGTTAGGCTCTCATGGGAAATGTGTTACTGTCCTCAATCCATTGGGGTACTGTAGACCAGACATTCTTGTTTAAAGAACACCTCTAGACCTGGAGATGCCCTCTCTGGTGGTCTGTTTAATTACTCTTACAGTAAGCTCCTTTTATCTAGTATTATACTTACATATAAGACTCCATTACCCCTGCTATTTTGTGAATTCCTTTCCAGAAGACATGGCTGTATCTTAATCATCTTTGTCATCACCACAGAACTTTGTAGAGCATTTACGACATATTTGTGGATGTGGATAGAAGTGTCAGTCCTATCCTCAGCACTCAGTGCCAGACCTCTTCTGTGAGCCCTCAATCCTTCCTCCCACTGATAATCCTCAAACTTGATGCACAACTACAAAAAGGCAGCTGCTTGCTTTTAAAAGAGGACTTCTGGACTTCCCTGCCAGGCATTTTTGAAGGCTAGAGAGCTTTTGTTAAGTCATGACATAGCTAGTCAAGTTAAACTGCTTGAAATGTTTAGTTTACACAACTTAAAATCTAACTTAGAGGCATATCATGCCTTCCTGGTAGCTTAGGGCCTTCCACACATAATTGCCCTATATGGATTTGGCCCCTTGAAGCAGGACATCCTATTTTTTTTTTTTTTTTTTGGTGTGGCGGGGAGGAGGGACAGCACGGGACTTGAAATCAGGGCCTGCGTACTGTCCCTGAGCTTCTTTTGCTCAAGGCTAGCTCTCTAACACTTGAGCCACAGTGCCACTTCTGGCTTTTTCTGTTGATGTGGTACTGGGGAATCGAACCCAGGGCTTCATGCATACTAGGCAAGCACTCTACCACTGAGCCACATTCCCAGCCTCTATTCCTTTTTTTTATTAGCTATAGATCCAATACCTAAACAACACCTTGACCATATGGTGGCATGTTTTAGTCTTCTTTGCTGGAATCTGTAAAGAAGTACTTATTTAGGTGTTCTGTCTTTTTTTTTTTTTTTGGTCAGTCATGGGGCTTGAACTCTGGGCCTGGGTGCTGTTCCTCAGCTCTTCAGCTCAAGACTAGCGCTCTACCACTTGAGCCACAGCACCACTTCCAGTTTTCTCGTGGTTTATTGGAGATAAGAGTCTCACAGACTTTCTTGCCCAGGCTGGCTTTGAACCATGATCCTCAGATCTCAGCCTCCTGAGTAGCTAGGATTGCAGGCGTGAGCTACCAGCACCCGGCATTCTACCTGGAAAGTACTACGAGCTCAACATTTTCAAGGAGGTAGACACACATTAGAATGGGTGATTATAAGATACGTATCCTTCAGAAATATTCAAGTAGTTTAAGATACAATTGAAAGTGCCTTTTCTCCATACCCAAATGCCTTGCAGAGACAGATGAGAATTGATAACAGCATGGTTAGGCATTCTTGATTAGATCCACTTTTCAAAGTGAAACTTGATTATCATCTTAAAAAATAAAGTTGGCTTCTTTTTTGGGAATTTCATTTACAGTGTCTAACAGTTAAGGGATTGTTTTTACTCTATGGATATCAGTAATTTGCTAATTTTTCTTGTTCTCTCCCCCCCCAGTGGAAAGGTGAAATCCAGGAGTTTTGTCCCAATACCAAAATGCTCTTGGTCGGCTGCAAGTCTGATCTTCGGACAGATGTTAGTACATTAGTAGAGCTCTCAAATCACAGGCAGACTCCAGTGTCCTATGACCAGGTATGTATGCTATTAGTGTAGAAAAACACACAATGAGAGTGAAAGAAACGAAATATTCATGATAAATAAGACCCAAATCAGCTGCTTCTCTGGAGGTGGTCAACTGTGAAATGTAAAATGCTTATTCTTCAGGAGCATAATCACATATTTAAGTACATCAATGCTTGATTATATATTACCCTTGTATGTATGTGAAACCCCAAGAGGTTTAGAAGTCAGTAAGCTTAAAAGAGAATATGGTCAGAATCAGTACCTCTCTTTAAGAGAGCTATTATTTTACACTCAGCTGCCCAATAAAATACTGAAACAGACCATTGTCAGTAAAATAGCCTACTCCATAAAACTACATTTTAAGAGATTCACTTCTACAGGTGTTTCCCATGGGGATTTAGAAAGGACAATCAATTTCAGACATGCATCCTTTTAAAACCCATAACCAGATTCTAAAAAGAGTTTATGTTGGAGTAACTGAAATGATAGAAAATATTCATCATTTAAAATATTGCATTTCTGAGCCAAGTATAAGGTGGACATTTATAATTCCAGCACTTGGGAAGCTGAGGCTAGAGAGCTCAAGTTCAAGGCCAGCCTAGGGTTCATAGAAAACTCGAAGGCAGCTTGAACAACATAGTAAGATCCTATCTACAACAAATAAGACAAAATAAATTAAATAAGAAAAGATAGGTAAAATATTGCATTTCAGAACTAGGCATGTAGCTTAGTGGTAGAACATGAACAGGCTCTGGTTCTAATCCCTAGTGCCACAAAAAAAAAAAAATCAAACTGAAAAAATACCATAGTCATCTTCATTTTGCATTTCTACTTAACACGTGTTTCTTTAAGCAAATCATTTTGATTCTGTGCATATGCTCATTGTGTATATTGCTAATATCATCCACATTTAGCAAGTACAGATTTTGTGTTTCCTTAAATAATAGATGACATAATAGCATTAATCACTCATTATTACCCCTGTGTTTTGCACAGCCCATTGACTAGCTTTCAATGTCATTCAGAGTCAAAAAGAGAGAAAAGATAGTGTCCTATGGGGGAGCTAGAACAGACTCTACAGTCCAAAGCCCCTTGCCACATAGAAAATGTACAGTTAGGTTCATGATCTTCAGCTCTCTTATCCAGTGGTGAGAGTCTGAGACTTGCTATGACTGGAAGGCCTCAGTAACCAGTTACTTTTTTGGGGAGGGAGGGGGTCCGGTCATGGGACCTGAACTCTGGGCCTGGGCACTGTACCTCAGCTCTTCAGCTCAAGGCTAGCGCTCTACCACTTGAGCCACCTCGCCACTTCCGGCTTTTCTCTTTTTGCCTATGTGGTGCTGAGGAATCGAACCCAGGGCCTCATGCATGCAAGGCAAGTGCTCTACTGCTGAGCCACCTTCCCAGCCCCTAACCAGTTACTTTTGGTTACAGTCATCTCATCTCAAGTATTGTATGATCACTGATCCTGACTCGTGATCAGCCCTTAGAACCTACAACATTTATTTCTAAATAGTGATAACCAAGCATTTTAGGATAGTGTCTTGACTGCAAATAGACATAATAAAATAGATTACTTTTTTTAAAAAAAATCTTTATTTTTTGCAATGATACTAAGAAAATACATATTAGAAAGTGTTTTGTAGTGCAGTTTTATTTTGTAGCAAGAGAAGACACTTTATTTTATAATCTTCCCTTCAAGTCTTATTACTGATTAAAATTCTTTTCTTTTGCTTCTCAGGGGGCAAATATGGCCAAACAGATTGGAGCAGCTACTTACATTGAATGCTCAGCTTTACAGTCAGAAAATAGCGTCAGAGACATTTTTCACGTTGCTACCTTGGCATGTGTAAATAAGACAAATAAAAACGTTAAGCGGAACAAATCCCAGAGGGCCACAAAGCGGATTTCACACATGCCTAGCAGACCAGAACTCTCAGCAGTTGCTACGGACTTACGAAAGGACAAAGCAAAGAGCTGCAGTGTGATGTGAAACTTTTCCTGATCTTGAATGAGGACAAGAGAATCTAGTGTAAAAAAAAGAAAGAGAGAAAAGGAGCAAAACAAGTGAAATCTGAGTGAAGTGCACAGCCAAAGTCACATATATCGCAGGCCCCTGAAGGGATAACTGTGTTTTTGGAATCCTGTCCTTGGCACGTAGATCGAGTGGTGAGAAGTGAATATATTGAAGAGTTTTGACGTGTGACTTGAAAGATATGCCAAAAAAAGAGATACAGATGGGCTAAAGATAGATGAGGAGGAATGCGAGTACTTCCAAGAAGAAAAAAATCACACTCTGAATGGTGCTTGCTTATTTTTTGTTATTGTTGTTTCCTTACAATTTGTTCGTGAATCTCTACTTTGATTTTAACTTTTCAATGTTTTAGTTGCCTTTACAAAAAGTATATATTAATATACCATCCTCATTGGGGAACTGGCACTGTGACCTTAGTGTTTAGGTTTTTTTTTTTTTCCTAAGAGGATGTGATCTAATTTCCTCCTAGCTCATCATTAAAATGGAAATTGTATCAGGACCTATGGGATTCCAGAGGAAAACTTCATGAGGCTTTGAAATCTTGCCTTCCTGAAGATTGCTACTGAGCAAGATAGTTTTAAAAGAAAGGCTTTTGAGTCCTTGCAAGATGTGTAGACCAGCACTACAAAGATCGCCTAGATCAAATAGGAAAAAAAAAATGGTGTTGTTTTTTATTCTGTCTGATGGTTCTGTTCCTCAATGTGATCGTCATTAACAAGTGGTATATTGCTCAATGTAATATTTTTGTGCACTGTTTAGAGAAGAGGGTTGTGATTTTAGGTTTTTTTTGCCATCGTTGATAAAAATGCAAAGTCAAATAAAAAGTGTCTTGCTTTGGTGTCATAGAATGATTCCAGGAGGAAAAATATAGGTACTATTTTCACCAAGAGAGTAATAAAAGAAGAAATAGTAGCAGAAAGCTCAGTTTGTAAGTAAAGCTGTCTGGAAGGTAGTTACCAAATATACAAAGCAAAAGGACTGTTCTTTTGGGATGAGGCTCCAAAATTGGCAGCATCTAATGATCTGTTGGCTCGGTTCACTTTCTTTAATTAAACATCCATGTGCAAAGGATACATTTATCCAAGCTTTGGAGAATCCCTAGTGGAAAATTACATGTCAATCCTGACATCACACTGGGGTACTTCGAGAGTGACTGCTAAACCTCACTTACCCAGATTCCCAAGCCATGTTCAAAACTTAATGCTTATTGTGACAGTAGAATCATCAGCATTTAAAATGGTTTACAGTTATATATTATTTTTTGGACCAGCTCATTTTAGAGATGCTTTCAAAAAAGAAACCAGGAATGATTTGTTTATTGTTGGGGCTTGTTGAAAACGAGCTTTCTTTCCCATGATAATGCTTCATTTTTGAAGTGTTGAAGCTGTGCTCCCATGAAATTATGGCAGGAGAAGGGGTTAAGGTAGTTACAACACTCAATTCTGTGTCTAACAAGCACTTTGTTTTGTCTCTGCAAGAAGAATACCATTCCAGGCATTTCCCACAAAATACAGAACTTTTTACCAACATAATATGCTTTGATTGACACAGCATTATGCTTGGGGCAGTATTACAAAATAGCTGACAAGTGCTTTCTGTATTTAAATATTGTAAAAAGAAAATAAGTTATAACTGTTATAAAGCAGAACTTTTGTTGCATTTTTTTTTAATGTTGAAGTCACTTTGTATGTTTGTTTGGTCAATGTTTCTGCAGTATTTATTAAAACATACTTTTTTTTTCCTTCAAATAAAAAAGTAACCATGTCTGTCTAAATGTGATTGTTTGTTATTATATAGCTCCTGACTTCATTGTGTAGCTTTGTTCTTTCATAGAAGGAACCGCAGGATCTTGCCTGACTTTCGCTGAATTGGAAGGCTTTGGATGCTTTGTAGTTTCTTAAAGAAAAATAAATCTGCATATAGAAGTTTGAAGTCAAGTCAGAAGAAGAAAATTGACTGAGTGATCTGATTATATACAAAACAAACTGTGACCCAGCTAAAGGATTAATTTGCAGGAAGTATGAAAATTGCTTGAAGTTTGTAATAGTGAGACAGTGTGGTTGGCTCTCTATCCTCTTGAGTTTAGAGTTCTGGTTCCTTACACAGCTGTTCACCTTGAAAGACAAGTAGACAATTGTCAGAATCATCCAGGACCCTGGATTACAACAATGAAGGGTTTGGGGAAGGATAAAAAGTAAAACAAATGTAGTTTTGCTTATAATAGCATCTTTAAGGAACACAGTGTAACAATAATAAGCTTCCCAAAAGTTGTAAGGTAAGCACAAAATAGTTTAGAATAGTGAAGTGCTTAGCTTGTCATCAGCTAAGTTGCTTCTTAGTTTTTTTTTTTTGTCAGTCATGGGGCTTGAACTCTGGATTTGGGCACTGTCCCTGCACTCTTCAGCTCAAGGCGAGCGCTCTACCACTTGAGCCACAGCACCACTTCCAGTTTTCTAGAGGTTTATTGGAGGTAAGAGTCTCACAGGCTTTCCTGCCTGGGCTGGCTTTGAACCATGATCCTCAGATCTCAGCCTCCCAAGTAGCTAAGATTACAGGCGTGAGCCACCAGCGCCTGGCGCTTCATAGTCTTTAGCTAAAATCCTCACGCAAGTTTTTTGTGAATATCCAAAGATATTCCATGTGAGGCTTTAAAACTGATTCTGTACAGCTAAGCCATTTCATGTAAGAATTGAATCCTTATGGCTCAAAGAAAAATTGCTTAAAATATCTTTGAGGTAAACTTAACTTCCTTAGAAATAATTCTCAGACCAGAGTTGGGAAATCAGAGAATCCAGCATGAGTGAACAAATAAGAGCATTGATGGCATAGCCATATAATTTTTTTTTTAAGCATAGAAGTTATCTGAATATGTTGAAAACACATTCCCATCATCAGATGGGAAAGGAAACAAAAGTACTTTCCGACTCCTGGGTGTTGAGTAACTTCACTGCCACAGTGTGTGAGGGGTGGGGGAAAAGGGGTAAACGATTTCTGCTGATCTCGGCAGTATTTTATAGGTCATACAGTCATTCTCTCTGGTCAATTGTTCTCTCTCAGCAGCTTTAATTTGTTAAAGTAAAAAAGAAAAAACATTGTCTTCAGCCTTGAGTATATATGCCTTCCTATTTTCTAACTTTTTGCCTGAACAAACCTATCTTTTAAGCATTCTGTGAACATTCTTTCCTATGAACTAATGATTATGATTAATGCCTTTTTGAATACTAAATGGTAAGACTTTTACTGTGTCTCTATCACCTCTATTAATCTTTTCCAGAAACACTTGAATAAAAGTTGCTAGTCTTACAGGGAATGTGTTGTAACTGGAAACTTGAGAAATGACCCAGGGAATTAGCTTTATTAGAAAGATTTTTTTTTAAGTGGCCTCATTTTTAAGAATCCCGAAATCCCCTCTAGAACCTGCTTTTTCGCTATTTGATGGATTACATTGACATCAAAATTCCTCTCTAACTCATGCTGTTTTCTTTTCCACTATTTTCTCCTTTCACCAAATAGATACTGAGTACCTGTTATATGCCCATCAGTTTTCTAGGTTTGGCTGGGCCAAATCATGGTTAAAATACCATCTTCTGAGCCTGAGAGTTAATAATCTAGTTAAGAGGTCTAGTCAAGAGCAAATCACCATGCATTGGGCCTGGTTGTGATCTGTATTGGCAAACTGAATTCTGAGTTGATAATAAATAGTAAAAAAAAAAATGTTGCCGTGGGCACCAACGTAATATGTTACATCATATTTATAATGTTATAATATGGTGCAAAGGAATATTTTAGTACATCCTAATGGGTAGAGTTAGTTTACTGATAACAGAAGAGCAATGAAAATGACTACGTAACCAGTGATCACTGAAGTAGTTGCACCAGCCTATAGATGGTTGTGACTTTAGAAGACCAATAGAAGAATCTATCCCTTCTCAATTGAGTATAACATCTTTTAAATGTGACTGCCTTGCTGCAGATTCATTCTAGCTCCTGTAAAATCTTCAATAGAGAAAATTGGGAAAGACATTTTTAAAAGAGTTTTGCATAATAAAATTTTACTAAAAAATTGAAAATAATTTTAGGAGATGACAAAAATCCTAAAACTATAGTACACTTTCATTGAAAACAGAAAACTGACTGTTTCTAAAATGTTGAGAATACTTGTTTACAATTTGTGGCAGTCTAAAACTCTTCTTGAAAGTATTCATGAGCAGTGAATTCTAAGTTTCTTCATCTTTGTCTTTTCCTGAGAACACAGGAAACAAAATCTAATGAACACCCTTCCCCCCCCCCCCATTAAAACTTTGCAGGACTTCAAAAGACAATTCTTCTTTTTAAATTTTTATTGTCATTATAAAGGTGATGTACAAAGGGGCTAGAGTTACACAAGTCAGGTAATAAGCACATTTATTTTGGACAATGTCATCCCTTGAAAATTCATCTTTAGAATTATTTTTGGATTTTGTTTCTTTTGAGGGGAACTAATGGATTTTTCATGATGATGAAAGTACTCCACCTGTATTTTAAAGCAGCTAATGGAAGAAAAAGACATTCCACAAGAAATGGAAATTAGGTCAATATTTGGTTTATACCACTGTCAGAGTAAGAGCTAACACTGATGCACAAATTATGTGACAAACACTGTCCTAAATAGTTCCTATAACCCACTTCTTCCCACACTGCAAATGCATGTAATGAGTTAAATACAGTCAAGTAGAAGGGAAGTCAGGGATCTTCTCCAGAGGGTCATTGAAAGAGCCAGATTAGAATTTAGGAGGGCATTTAGCTCTGAAATTCCAGTGTTCTACCATAACACCATTTTTGCCATGGACAAAAATACTTCATGAGTATGGAATCCAAGGTCTATGCCATGGCTGCACAGCTGCTCTGAGCCCATGGTATGGCTTTATCCACCCTGACCTCCCCAAGTCTGCACCCTCACTAGCCCTTCTCTCATTCTGACTGCATCTTGACTCCCATCATTGTTCTATGTTCTATTCTCTCTTCATTGGCACCTATATTCATCCTGTCTCTTGGGTGGCAGGAATGTGATGAGTAGGAAAAAAAAAAAAGACCCACCCATGGATGGTTGCCCTGTGCCCTTCCATAATCCAGGTTTCTAGAACTGTGCTGGAACAAAGATATTCCAACACACTAGTTCTAGAATCCTTTAACCTAAAATTGGATGCTGTAGATACCAGCAGTATAAAACAAACAGCTAAAAAGAAAAACGATTTGGCATTCTTTTTTTCTTTATTTTTTCTTTTTATCAGTCCAGGGGCTTGAACTCTGGGCCTGGGAGCTGTTACTGAGCTCTTCAGCTCAAGGCTAGCACTCTACCACTTGAGCCACAGTGTCACTTCCAAGTTTTCTGGTGGTTAATTGAAGAGTCTCACAGACTTTCCTGCCCAGGCTGGCTTTGAACCCTGATCCTCAGATCTCAGTCTCCTGAATAGCTAAGATTACAGACATAAAGCACCCAGCTGTTTTATCTGAACTTGTTAATAGGCATTCTTTTTATTCAATGTTTTTCACTACTCCCTGAAAGTATACTTGACCTGTGAAACCTAAGCATTGCAAATCTTCATTCTCTCAGGACCTCAATTCTAAACCATTAACTAAACCCAATAGCCTCTTAGCAGACATGCTTAGCAAACATTGCCTCTATATCCATCTCTTTTGGAGTGATATGCATAATTCTGGTCCTGAGGGGAAAAGAATATCTGAAGGAAAAATAACCAGGGTTTTAGTTAAAGTAAGTCTAAACAAATGTTCACTCACATTTTCTGTGGCATAACAGCAATGATTCTTGTTTGGAATTTGAAGAATTCAAAGGTCTAACTTGGAATTGAGACAGAAAGGTCTAACT